CTCTTTAAGGATTCCAAGCTATTGATTCGAAATACTTGCTGGATTCAGAAGAAGGTTTGAAGATCCTCTGAATCACCTGTCGGTCACTAACCTGCTCTCTCCCTCCCAGTTTTTCCTGCTACCTTGGTTAAACCCACTCCAGAGTTCTCTAGATTTCTATAATTAAACTTTTAACTGTTCTCTTTTGTGTCTGATTGTATCAGGGTCCACAGTTGGATACGTTACATTACTGGCCAGATTTTAATGTAACATTTTTGCTGCTAGGTGTTGATGGAAAGAAGTTGGCTTCTTCAGCCAGTAGGTGTGGATTGTGTCTGGGCTTCAGTTCTCCCTGAGAGTCTATGGTCTGCCACTGTAATATTCATTAGCGGGAGGTTAGCATAGTCCGCTATTGGGTCTTTTAGCCATTGAGCATAATTCTTATGTGATGCTTCTTTCTCATATAATCCTTTCCAGTGTTGTTCAATCCCCAGCCTTGGTGGGTTGGGTCGTGTGTTATTACCCTAAAACTGGGTAATAACACCTGAGCTGGTTTATTGCAGAACAGCAGTTTATTCGTCTGGCTTCCATGTCTTCGGTGCACCTCCTCAATCAGGCTGCCAAGGCTTGAAGTCTTTGCCTTGCAGTTTCCACGGCCTCAGGAATGGGAATCTGTTTGTAATACTGCCGCATCCCTCTGCCAGAAGATCCCCTCTTGAGGTCAGAGAGTTGGTATCTTCTTTCCGTACTCCTTGATTTTGGCTTCCAACCTCCTCCCAAATGGTGAACATTGGTCACTGTAGACGCCCTTTTCATTACCTTGTCCAAGCATCTCAAGGATCACCAATTCTTTACAGTGTTTGTCTCCCTGAATCGGTTCTGACTTGGTTAGGCTTGGATTCAGCCTTGAGAAACATAAAATTTGGTTATAGGATTCACAAAGCTGATCTACTTAGAGGGAGCGCCTCAGAATGCGTCTGTCAAAACAATAAAATGCAGCATAAATCGGTTTGGATTGTTTGCATTGCCGTCAAGTGTCCTGTTTGTGCCAGGAAACGATCATATTTCGACGCTTCTGTCACCATCCTACCATATTAACAACCTTCTGTAAATTTCCTAAATTATTCTATTATGAAAAAACATTCTACTGCCTCCTACAACAAAACTGTCGCTAGCATCGCAAATCAAAATAGGATAAATTACTGTAGTTTGCAATTAGTTGACAAGTGTTTATTTTAGATTTCTTGTGCACATGTCTTAATCTATAATGGATGCCGAAGTTTGACTGGGAGAGTTGGACGGCTCGCAGCAGATGTAGTAAAATTTCCTGTATTTTCAAATTCAAAACCTGAGAGGTATGAGCTTTCCTTCATGGGTGTTTGGAATATATGCTCATCAACAAATTCTTGCAAAATACTGGGAGGAGGCTATTCAAATGTAATTATTTAGTGATAAAGTCTACGGCTGACTGAAGGAAGCCAGATTCTCTGGATAAAGCGCAGTAGTTCTTCTATTTTAACGTTTACCTTCCTGGCTCTTAAAGATGTTTCTCTGAAATCTAGGATCATCTTTACAAACAGCAGTAACATGCGAAAGTAAAACACAAGAATAAAAATGAGTGAAAAGGAAAGCGTCCTACCTCCAGGTCTTTGAGCAGAAACGGTCCTGATTCATAGAGTGACATCGCAGCACTGTTGAACAGAAACTCAGAGATGCAGATATAGGCCATCCAGTTAGCGTCACTCCAGACTGGATTTGATCCGGACTTTATTAAGGAGCCATTGATAGACTCCCCCTGCCTGAAAACCAAACCCTAAAAACAAACAAAGTTTACCTTCAAACACAGAGAACAACACCTTTTTTCAAAAATAAGAGAGAACAAGGCCTTGCATCAGATCTCCAGGGTTTTAAAGGAAAAATCCGCTCATATTCAGAATTCATACTTTTGAAAAGTCCTTTAAATACGAAATGATTCCATCCTGTTCAATAAATGATCAGTGTTTTTAATTCAGAGTAATTTTCATGTGAATGTGCTTTACTGGAGGCATCCATGTTTGTCAAAGAACACTACTGCCACCTACTGGTTAGTGACGTCACGGTGCGGTATCGGCTGTTGATCAAGTCCCAGTGCTGTATCTGGTGTTTGTCACAACGCGCTATTATCCAAGTCATCTTGAAAACATTCTTCTTCCAAATGTTGGCTACATATTACGGGTTTTTTCTCTGGCCAGAAGTTCGATGGCAAATCCTCCCTCTTCAAGTTGGCGATCCAACGACCAACCCGTCCGTGGAGGATCAGGAATCAGAAAGGTGGAATAACTCTTTTTTCCACTTTTACCCGATGTATTCCAGCATCCAGCTGCCATGCACGTGGGCATTGTCAGTTTCACTATAGCTCTGGTGAATTTCAGTGGTGAAGTCCTCTGGAAATCTTCAATAATTGTTGTTGATTGCAGATGTGTCTTAACCTGACAACAGCCAGATGCATGTCTCGCTCCGCCTAGCTCCACTCACATACATCTGGGAACTCGCTCATTGAAAGTGATTTCTCCAACCGAATTTATGGTCTGTCCAATCAGGACGCAGGGTGGGTGTGTCCTGGAGTGGAGAAGCGACCGTGAGATTCCAACAACAATGGCGGCTCGCATTGAGGAAGCAAGCGTTAGCATTGATGCTGCTATTTCTTCTGTGTTGTCCAATCTATCTGATATTGTTTCATTAAAAGAACATCAGAGAACGGCTTTGAAGGCTTTTGTTGGTGGAAACGATGTTTTCGCCCTTCTCCCGACCGAATTTGGCAAGAGCTTGATCTACCAAATGGCTCCTCCTCTCACAGCGTCACGGGTTAGCTTCGGTGTGAGTGATTGAAATAGCACGTCAATAAAGATGACAGACAAGTGGCTTATCCAATCATATGCAAGGAGTTTTGATAAGGCCCAGCCTTCAGTAAAGGCAATTCCTATGGCGGGTTCCCAGATGTATGTGAGTGGAGCTAGGCGGAGCGAGACATGCATCTGGCTGTTGTCAGGTTAGATGTGTCTAGTAGTTCCCATTGATTTAGCTTGTAAAGCGGGGAGAATGGCGCTAGGCTTACCGCACCGTGACGTCACTGCTGGAAGATGGCAGGAGGGAGGGGCTACTATATTTGGGAAAAAATGGCCGCTTCCAGACTCAGTGATCGCAACGAAAACTATTGTCTTCACTAAATTAATTAAATCCCCGCAAACGTATTAGTTTTAGGTATAAATTTTGATCCATTAATTATTCCTCGCTGACCAGACATTTCCTTTAAGACGGAAACTTCATTTCCAGGAAGATTGTTTAACTATTTCTCACTTTAAAAGGCACGTCGATGCTGGTGGAGGTCACCCTAATCTTTTCACTCAAGGCATAGCTGATGGTGAAGTTATAGTTATCCTCCAGCTTCATCTCCGTACTGATGCTCTTCAACATGCTGTTGATCTTTTTTGCCAGTAATACAGAACAAGCCTGCAGACAAACCGTAAGAGACACACTTTACCGACTCATCCCTGTATTTAATCAAAAGTAATAAAAAATTTCAAGATTACGCTATCTTCGTTATCAATGATTCTTTGTTTATAAATATTCAGGTGGGATAAAAAAAAGTCAAAGAAATACATCAAAAGGCTTAACGGAGAGACAAGGAGCCCCTCCTCCAGAGAATTTCAGTCAATCAATAAGTAAAATTTTCTTAAATTAATTGTATTTACCTTTAATTCTAAAATGTAAATTAGATTGGTTGCCAATGGAACAAGTATTTTTAATTATTAGATTATATGGACTTAAAATAAGACAATACAATGTTTTCCTTATTTTTAATGTAATTGTCTTGTTTCATTGTAAAAGTGTCTCACTTACCCCCTAAATGCAAGAAAAAAACCTTTTTTATTGAAAAATAACTTTTTTTTAAGTGAGCTGCTTCTCATTCATGACTAGTGATGCCTGATGGAGAATTTCCTAAAGGCTGATCTCAGAATAAACCTGCTGATCTTGGAACAGAGACTTTTTCACAGTAAGTCAGCATCCCTTCATGCAGTCTTGTTGATTCTGCAGTTAGAAGCGTCTAAAACAACCAAACCTGCTGGAAGTCTGCTTGCAAAATCATTTCCCAGGCTCCTCTCAGATGGAACAAACCTTGTTGTTGAAGGCCGTCTTGATCAACCAACTTAAACTGCCCCACAGCCATCTGAAGGGGGGAAAATGCACATGTTTTTTCTAACAAAATCAAAGCATTTTAATGGAAAAATATCCCCACTTTGCAGGGAGACGCTGGATTACCCACCTTCAAATGGTGATTGCATCACTGTGGTGAATTCCTATTGCTTTGTTAAAATGTTCTGCTACTATCATTTCTGTTAGTGTCATTCTGCAGGGTTCTGGAAATTATTGGGG